CCTTACGAAGCAAGTATAAGAAATAATTTTATTCTTCCATTTTTGTCACCACTGCTAGTAAACTTGCAGTATTTGATATTCTCTTCCTGTCCCCTCTGCTGATCCCATCACTCTTTGATCACTTTAATTATTAAGTTATATCTCACAGTAGACAAATAGGATTGTGTCAACTCAGGTGCTTCTGCTCAGCCAAGAAAACAATGAAGAGTGAAGACAGAGCTGACAAAATGGGAGAAAATATTGGCGAACTATTTATCTGACTAGGGATTGATATCCAAACTATATAAGAAACTTTAAAACTTCAAGAGCAAAATCTAACCTGATTTAGATGGTCAAATAGAAGCCAGTGTTGTGGTGCAGTGAGATAAACCACAAGCTGTGACACTGGCATCCCATTTGAGCCCAGTAATGCACCTGGGGAAGCATCCAAAACAAGTCTCGAGTGCTTGAGACCTGTATGGAGTTACTAGTTTCTGGCTTTGGCCTGGGCGTGTGCACGTTCTCCCTCTGTGTGTGTGTGTCTGTCTGTCTGTGTGTCTGTGTGTGTGTGTCTCTCTCTCTGTAACTCTGCCTTTCAGATCAAAATCCTTTTCTTAAAAAAGTCAAATAATAGATATTTCTCAAAAGAAATACAGTTACCAACAAAGTATATGAAAAATACTGAAGATCACTAGCCATCAGTGAAATGCAACTCAAAACCACAATGAGATATCATCTCATTGCAGTTATGGCTGTAATCAGAAAAGCAAAGAGGAAGAAATGCTGGTGAGGAATCAGACTAGGGAATCCTTATATACTTTTGGTGGGAATGTAAATGAATACAGTCTTGGAGAACTATAGGGAGATTCCTCACAAAACTACAAATATGTCTACCATATAATCCACGCATCCCCTCTGCTGTTAGACAGGAAATTTCTGTCTAATAAACTCCTGTGTTTATTGCAGCACTGTTAACAGTAGCCAAGCAATGGAAACAACCTAAGTGTCCACCAATTGATGAATGGATAAAGAAATTGTGCTATGTGTACACAATGGAGTTATTAGCCATAAAGAATGAAATCCTGTCATTTGCAGCAATATGGTTGGAATCTGAGTGAAATAAACCAGGCAGACTGATATTGCCTGTTGTCAAGCATGTGGAAGATAAAAAAAAATGGACTATCAGGAAGAGACTAGAATAGTGATCACTAGAGGCTGGGAAGGGTAGAGAAAGGTTGGATAACAGGTTCAAAAACAGTTTGATAGGAGGAATAACTTATGGTGTTCTCTAGCACAGTTGAGTTGATTAGTTTAGAACAGCATGTTAGATACTTTATGAAGAACTAGTAATCAAGCACAAAGAATTGATAAGGATAAAGAAATGCTGTTTATTCCAATTTGATTGTTACACATTGTGTACATGTATTATTACCCTGTACTCCATAAATAATTACAATTACTTTTTGTCAAAAAGAAAAAAATACATATTAAAAAATGCACCTCATTTTCTGATCATAAAATGCCCAGTTCACATCTGTATCTTCATGGAGCTTAAATTCTTGTTGGATGACAGATGATAAGTAAAGCGTGGGGCTCTGTGATATGCTAAAGAATGGTAAATGCTATGAGGAAGAAAAATGGAGCATATGAAATATGTGGAGATCATTTGTGGTATTAGAGTCACCAGGAAGGGCCATACTGAGACGGTGACTTTTGGGTCAAGACCTGCAGAAATTATGCAAGCAAGCAAACGCACACGCAAAAAACCAGGTGGTTTTCTAGGAGAATAGTTTTCCAGGCAGAGATACAAACGATGTAGCTGCACTGAGGTCAGAATAAACATGGTACAACCAGCCCAGGAATGGAGAGTGTAAGAGGTGAGGGGGTTGTGGTGTGGAAAAGTATACAGGGTCTTGTCGTTTATAAGACTTTGACTTCAATACAACCAAGAAGGTTTTGACCAGAGTTACATACTGTGCTTTACTTTTTAGCTGTTATTCTTCCTGATTGTCATATTGAGAACCACACGTGGTTTGGGGATTGGGTGAGAGGTGGAAGAAGGCAGGCAGTTGTGACTAACCACGTAGAGGATGCTGGTGTTTTCAGTCAAGGCTGGGCCAGCGCCAGTGGGGAGAAGCAGTACTTTGAATATGTTTTTCGGGTAGAAACAGTAGAATTTTGTGGTATACTGTATCAGAGCTCAAAGAAGGTGATCAAAGATGAGACTTTTGCTCTGAGGAACTAGAAAAAGGAAGTTAGCTGAAAAAAGGATTGTAGGAGTTGGACTATCAGGAACTTGATTTAAATTGGAGGCACTATTCAACTTTATTATATTCAAATATTGTATTTCAAAATAAAGACTTAGAATTTAGATACGTAGTTCCAGAATTCAGAAATCTAGGTTAGAGATACCCTTCCTGTATCTTGATTTCTCCACATGTAAAGGGGTTGGGGGTTGATATCAGCCTGATATTTTCAGTCTACAAATCTGTGATCCATTAAAATACAGTAATCCCAACTTAACCTTCTATCCAAGCATTATACCAAGAAGCAATTATATCTCTGAGGCAGTGTGGTTTACCTGGAAAACAGCTCCCCTCCCAGGCTCATTTATAAATAAATATTTGCAAAATTTGATTGGAGATCAGAAGGAATAGTCCTGAAATTAGAAGAGGAACTACAGCAAAACCATTGAGGAAAATACAGACTAGTTTACTTGCTTTGTTCAAATTCTGTGTCATTTTGTAGCTCTGAGGCATACATTAAGTTCCCTCATCTAAAAGTAGTAATATAATAATAGTACCCTCTTCCTTGGTTTGTTGAAATTCAGTGAGTTATGAATGCACCTTGGTGCTTTAAACAATTCTTGGTTTATGGTACAAATGGAGTGAAATGTAGCTAACTTCATTATTGTTGTTACTCTTACTGGTGCGTTATATATGGTTCAGAAGCATTTAAACTGTTTGTTTTATACTATTGGTCCTTAATTTTGGGTGTTTTTAATTCTAGTGATATTCTCTTAGTGAACATACCTGATTCTCAAATGATGACTTAACAATGAACCCGAACTATAATTAGTTGCAGTTCCTATAGTGTTTCTTAAAATTTATGAAATACTATTTCTTTTCAAAATTTTTTTCCTAAATAGAACAAAATGCTAAGTTTTATTTGTGCATATATTTCCCTTAAAGATTATTGAAACAATTTGTAACCATTCTTAACACATCATCAAGTTTATAGACTTTTTTATAGGAAGCATTTTTCAGAAAACATATTTGATTATTGATAGCATTATTTACTTTCCTGAAGTTTTACATTTTATGTTCTTATGTTTAAATAATTAACAATAGTTAAATCATTTTAACCAACACCCTATTGTTAATTAACATATGGTTGCCTTATCAATGCTGGTTTGAACCTGTTTTAAATAGAACCTGAGATCATTTCTAAACTGATGATCACTTTAACAGAAGAAAACCTTTATACATATGTGTCTCCGGAAAGCCAGGGAGTTTATGATGTAAAGGTTAGAAAGAAAAATGGAAGTCTGTCAGGTATATTTGAAGAGGGTTTATGGAGTATTAGGGTTTCCTACTAAGTAATTGTGAATTTAGATTTTACTTGAACTGAATCTTTTGTTTGCATTTTATAAATGAAGTGCTGATGTTGAGCACAATTCATCAAAATGTAACTGGAGCTTAGTAGCACCTAGGACTCAGATCTTGGTTTCTAATCACATTTTCACTCAAAGAAATTAGGGCTCCTTGGAGAACAGGCTGATAACCAGACTGAAAGCCTAGAATTCCTGTTATGCCAGAAAAGGTGGTACTTAGAAAATGTGGTGACATGTCAGAAGGATTAGAGCCTTTTTAAAAGGGTTCCCTGTGGCCATTCTGATCCACCAGAGTAACTAATGCCACAGTAAATTATATAAAGGATTGGGAAAAAATAGGAACCCAGGAGGCAAACTAGGAACACACAGAAGAGTGTGTTGCTTACATTCTAACAAGGTGCAGTTGGGTGATGTGTGTAAGAAGTACTGGAGCTGAGAAATCATGATTAGTAGAGTTAAAGAATCACAAATAGGTGTTAGATACAGGAGAGAAGCTTTAATAAGTAAGACATTTCCATGATCTTAATGTGTTTGCCCAGAGATTGCTTCTAAGTTGCAAGGAAAAGATGACTAAGTAGTAGGAAAATTGGACCGTGCTTGTCTAGATGAAGAAACCTAACATCACCAGTGAGCAAGAGGTTGGTTGATATCTTGTGCTTCTGGATGTGATAACCCTGTGGAGGACACATCATTTATGTACTGTTTCAGCTAGAAATTCATGACTTGAAATTAGTGAGGGGGAAACAGCTTCAAGTGATGATCATTCAGTTCTGTTTTGAAGAACTGTATCCTGTAAAAATGTTAATGTTAGAAATGTCAGAAAAGGCTGAGAGAACCCTATCAACAGAGACTGTGGACATAGGATATAACATGTTCCAAAGACCGGAACTTGTGTCTTGGAAAAAAATACTTTTGATTCAGTTAACAACATTATGCAGATAGTATTGTGTTACCAAATTTCTTGAAAAGATAAATGCATTGTGATTTATGGGAGACTGCTTTTAGGAAATGTACACTTAAGTGTTTATGGGGAAAGGACCGTGATGTATGCAAGCATGCTCCTAAATGATTCAGGAACAGGTGCATTTGCGTGTCTGTGTGTGTATGTGCGTGTGCGTGTGTGTTCTGAAGAGAGAGGAGCAAATGGGGCCTCACGCTAACAGAAGGAGATTGTGGGTAAAGTGTTCTTTGTACTTTTGTTGTAATTTTTCTGTAAGTTTGAGATATTTTAAAATAGGTTTTTATACATATGCCTGAGCACATTAGGGCTTATTGCTTTTTTTTTTTTTAATACTTAATCTCATTCTTTGTTGCTCTTACCAATTTACCTTTAATACTTTACTGGTTTTAAGATGTTAGCATGTATATTTGCAGATGTATATATTGATTTTTAATTTCTTTTAAATAGTGCTGGGCCTAAAGGAGATAACATTTATGAGTGGAGATCAACTATACTTGGTCCACCAGGTTCTGTATATGAAGGTGGTGTGTTTTTTCTGGATATCACATTTTCATCAGATTATCCATTTAAACCACCAAAGGTAAGAACATATAAGTATATTCTTTAATATTCATTCTTCTCTGAAATCATTAATTCTAGGACTTGCTTGTATTCTGGTTGCATTTTATTTCATTATTTTTCATGAATTTATGTGGAATCTCACATGAAAGAATTTTAAAACTGAAAGTAATTGAGTCTTACAAATAATTTTGTGATCAACAGAAGGAAGGTGAATTGTTAATTGTAAATAAAACTATACTTTGCATATCAGTGAGGCAGATACATTTTGAACTTCTGAGGGAAAATATTCGGTGAACCTTCTCTAAGAAACATACTGGGACAAAAAACTGACAGTTTGCAGAAATGAGAGTTTAGTGTGAGTTTTATGCGAAATCCTTCATAGATAAGCAAAAACCTGGGAAACTACAACAGATACACAGGAAACTAGTAATGTGGCTGCGTGGGTATGACCTTGTACTGGAAGTGGAGGATGACCGGGGGTGGTTTCTGCCTGTTAGTGCTTCATTCACTTGAAATATGAATTACATGGCTAACAAAGAGAAGCATTAAGTTGTGCCTTGTCATAACTGTCAGTTTACCAGACTTAAACGTAACATAATTAGTTTACAAAACTTAAACAAGACACTCATGTGAATGGCTTCCTTCCTTTTACCTGTCAAGCTATATAAAAAAAAAAAAAAATGCCAGAACGAAATCAGAACACAATTGTACTTTTATTCCAGAGACGTTCAACATGCCAGGGGGAAAAGTGTGTTAGCAAGCCTATAGCCCTTAGCTGCTACATTATTCCTCTTATGCCCTATACTATTTAAGGTTTATGTAGAGGGGGAAGCATTTGACACAGTTGTAAAGATGCTGCGTGGTACGCCCACATCGCATTTTGGAGTGGCTGGGTTTGTCTCAGCTCCACTTTCAACTTTCTTGCTAATGTACACCCTCAGAAACAGAAGATGATGGCCCAAGTACTTGGGTCCCTGCTACCCGTGTTGGAGATCTGGATTGATTTCCAGACTCCTGGGATAAGATTGGGCAAGCCCCAGCTATTGTGGATATTTAGGGAGTGAACTAGCAGATTGAAAATCACTCTGCCTATGTGTGTGTGTCTCTGTCTTCCAAATAAATAAAATCTTTTAAAATTACAATTTATGTAGCAACTTGATGCATGTGTGTGTAATATATATAATAAATATTACGTAAAGATTTAAGAAAGATTCTGTCTCAGGAAAGCATTATATAATAAGGTAACAACAGTGCCACCTAGTGGTATTTACCTCAAGTTGCAGATGCCAAGGTCTGGATCCCCTACAAATATTTACTGTCAGTTACAGTTACCAGATTATTTTTGGAGTGTTTTTCTATGTGTTCCATCAGAATCTAAGATCTCAGCCGGCGCCGTGGCTCAATAGGCTAATCCTCCACCTTGCGGCGCCGGCAAACCGGGTTCTAGTCCCGGTTGGGGCGCCGGATTCTGTCCCGGTTGCCCCTCTTCCAGGCCAGCTCTCTGCTATGGCCAGGGAGTGCAGTGGAGGATGGCCCAGGTGCTTGGGCCCTGCACCCCATGGGAGACCAGGAAAAGCACCTGGCTCCTGGCTCCTGCCAGGATCAGCGCAGTGCGCCGGCTGCAGCGGCGGCCATTGGAGGGTGAACCAGCGGCAAAGGAAGACCTTTCTCTCTCTCTGTCTCTCTCTCACTGTCCACTCTGCCTGTCAAAAAAAAAAAAAAGAATCTAAGATCTTGAAGTTAATATATTTTTTACTGTTTCCAGGTCTATAGAATCCATCTTGCTGAATCAATTAAAAGGGCGAAACCCTAATTTGATTAACACCTTTAAATGTTAGTATAATGCTAAAAGTACTCTGTATTACAGGAAAACAAATGAAATTTTAGAAATACCTTATAACTGTATTTATAAGTAGTGATAACTCTGCCTAGTGTTCCATATTAGAATTGCTTTAAACATGTTAGCAAAACTAGGGGAAAAAAGCAAGATTTATTTTATACAGAATTATAACACTGTTAACATTTGTCCTATCAACTTAATGGAAAATGGGTTGACTAACATGGGTTTCAAACAGTTGTTCTGTGTGTGATTTATCATTTTGATTAATGCAGTTCTTTTCAAATTCAGCTTATTAATTTTTGAAATTATAATTTAATTTTCTAATTCTTTAATTTCTGTTTACTCCTCTTGCTAAGATAACTTATGTAGAATTAGGCATCACTAAGTTCTAAAAAAATGTTGGACATTTGAAACAAACGAAGTTTCTGCTATTAACTTGTTGGAACAATTATTTCTGTTTAGTTCCTGTTTTTTGAAGTTAAAAGTTGAACTTGTTGAATGATAAATATGTAATTCTCTTCTGTTCATGAATAGTATTTTTGTTCTCTAGTTATTAAGAGCTGAACATTTTCAAAATATTAATTTTATTTGTAAACCACTGTGTCTCTATTGAGTGTCAATAACCTGAATATACATTATTCCTCATTTTATAGAGCAGCACTAATAGAATTATAATAGAGACTATAGATAGAAGTTTAAATGTTCAGGTAGGCACAGTTAAAAATGGAAAAAGAGACCATAAACTTATATTTTTATTTACTTACTTTGAGAGATAAGAGAACAAGTTCCCATATGTTGGCTCCCTCTCCCAAATGCTCACAACTAGGTGTGGGCCAAGCTGAAGTTAGGACCTGGGAACTCAATGTCCCCTGCGGATGGCAGGGACCCACCCACATCAGCCGCCCCCTACTGCCTTCCAGGGTACACGACATCAGAAAGCTAGAACCTAAAATGGAGCCAGGACACTAAACCAGGCACTTAAATACTGGATGCAGGTTTCTTCAGTGGTATTTTTACTGCTAGGTCAAACAAGTACCCCTAAAATTAATAATAATTTGTTTTGGTTAGCCAAGTACCAAAACACTGTCATTTTCACATAAGTACAGTATTATTTCTGATGCCTTTTACATCATCTTTTTGCCACCAAGTTTTTGAAATCTGATTTTATACTTTGATGCTTTGGGTAGCCCCAGTTCAAAAGTTGTGTATTCACACATATGTAGTTAGTTGGTTTTGTATTGGACAGAGCAGTTCTAGAGGCTCCGCCTCTTCCCACACTGAACCAGTAAGCTATTCCTGTCTTTCCGTCCTCACCTTTCAACTACTGCCCCCTTTTCAGAAAGATACGTCTGAGAAATTTTAGTATTTTCTTTCAGATTCCATTTCAGAGCTCACAGTTCAGTGTTAACTTCCTAAAGGTCAGAAATTGTCTTTTTTTCCCCTCTGCAATCCCAAATTATGAACCACTCAATTAGTGTTTGTATTTGTTTTGAAACTTGCCAGTATTTGTTCCTACCTTTTCTCACGTACCTCAGCATTATGTCAGTTTCCTTTACCTAGTAGTAAAGACTGCTAATTTTAATGTTTTACTCAAAAAGAAAACAAAACAAAACACAGTGTACCAACCGTGGGAATGAAAAATTGAGAACTAGAAAGACAGGTAGTATAAATGGTATCACTGACCTTTTTAAAAAAAGAAAAAAATTTTTTTTGAAAGAGTTACACAGAGAAAGAGAGAGAGAGGTCTTCTGTCCTCTGGTTCACTCCCCAAATGGCCGGGAGCCAGGAGCTTCTTCCAGGTCTCCCATGCTGCTGCAGGGGCCAAGGACTTGGGCCATTTTCCACTGCTTTCCCAGGCATAGCAGAGAGCTGGATCAGAAGTGGAGCAGCCGGGCCTCGAAACGGCGCCCATATGGGATGCCAGCATGACAGGTGATGGCTTTACTCCACAGCACCAGCCCCATTACCAAACTTTATCTAAATCCTTCTCCAGTATTTTTCTGCCAAGAAACAAATATAACTTCCGTGCTTATAAAAAAATTCTTCCACCAGTTTCTCTTACCCTGGGTGCCAAAACATTTCTGTTCTCCCTCGTTGTTCCCTCTTTGCCAGGTAAAAACAGAAAATAATCTTTCAACTGATTCAAATAAGCCCATTTAATTTTTGCAATTAAACCTAATATGAGTTTCAGTTAAATTATTTGCTGTTCAGTATTGTTTGTGGTTTTGTACCTTTCATTTTTTTCTGGTGAGAATTTTGGTTGGTAAAAAGCATTCATTTTCTTCCTGTTTTTAATGTGATTGTACATAGGTTACTTTCCGCACCAGAATCTATCACTGCAACATCAACAGTCAGGGAGTCATCTGTTTGGACATCCTTAAAGACAACTGGAGTCCTGCTTTGACTATTTCAAAGGTTTTGCTGTCTATTTGTTCCCTTTTGACAGACTGCAACCCTGGTAAGCAATTTTTGTAAACACATATAATAAAGCCACAAAAACTAGTATATTTTCTTCAATAGCTTAAATGTGGATAAAGAAGTAAATGCTCTTGGTAGAAATAAATCAGCATAAAACATGTTGTGAGGAACTCATCAAACCTATTTCAGTTAGACTAGCCCAGAAGTTTCTCAATAACTTCTCTCATTTTATTAATGTCATGCTGCTCTATAATAGTTTTCTTAACATCCTTCATGAAATCTAGGTATGGAATCTACATTTTAAATTAGATAGCTGTACTTCTGATAAGAGTAAAGCAATATCTTTTTTTTTCTTTTTTTTTTAATTGCTTTTTAAGATTGATTGATTGATTTGAAAGGCAGAGTTGCTGAGAGAGGGAGAGGCAGAGAGATCTTCAATCCACTGGTTCACTCCTCAAATGCTTCAGTGGCTGCTGGCATGTCTGGCTGCAGACGGGAGCCTGGAACTCCATCTGGGTTTCCCACATAGGCAGCAGGAGCCCATGTACTTTTGCCGTCTTCTACTGCCTTCCCAGGCACATTAGCAGGAAAGTAGACCAGCTGGGACTTGAACCTGTGCTCTTATGAGATGCTGGTATCACAGTCAGTGGCCCAACCCTCTGTGCCACAACACTGGCCCCAGTGCCTCTCTTTCTTTATCTTTGCATGCAGCCGTATACTTGAAGACAAAAAACGAAGGGTTTCTTGCTCTTCCTTAACTTTTAGGACTAATTAAAATTGGCTATATTAGATGTAATATTAATGGATGCTAAATTTATGGCAGATGGAAGTTGATGATTATATAAATTAAAATAAAATCATCAGTGTATAGTCCATAACTTCTTTAGGAATATCTAACAGCCAGATAGGAGCTTTAACATAGGTAGCTAACTTCATAAACTGGTGTTTGGACCTGGAATTTCCTGTAAGTTCTCTTACTATGTGGTCATTTTTCAAGGAGCTGACATACTTTTCTAAAAACATAATAGTAAGGTCTGTTTCCATTACCTGTGGCTTGGTAGTTACACGTACGCAATAGATAGATATTCATTGTGCTATCCTTTATTAAAGAAAAAGATTGGAAATAACCTGAATGTCTACAAATAGAAGTTATTCCTATTAAAAAGAATAAAGCCGTTAGATATGAAGTGATAAGGAATGATCTTTAAGATATTAAGCGTAAATCAAGGTACCAGAGAAATATATATAAGAAATAATATTCTAAATGCTTTTAAATGCACATAATGTATCTGAAAGAAATATTGTAAATGAGTAACAGTTATTTGCCAGGGAGAGAATCTTCAGAGTATTTGGATCACGAAGGAAGAGAACTTTATATTTTTACAGGCTATTTGGTATATTTCAGTTATTTTACCACATGGACATCCTTTATCTTTTTGAAAATAAGTTCAAAATAAAACTCAGATTCAGTTTCTAGTTCAGAAGTCTATGAAAATGAAATGTCAAGTTTTCTAGTGGAGATATGAGTAGTGATTAAAGATCACTGCACAGAATAAGAGAAACATTTCATTTAGCATTGTAGATTCAAGTTTATCTCAAAATTTTTTTAATGTATAAAATAAGGACAGAATTACAACCACCTAGCACACTCTGATTATTGAATAAAATGTGAGGATTACAAAGAAATCTTTGTATTTTAAAGGCTTACATCTTTTATAAAAAATAAATTCTATTAACTCAAAATTCATTTTTTAACCAAAGGGGCCTTCCTAATTTAAGTAATAGACTATGTAAATGATCATGTTGCTTTAAACGTTTTTCTTTTGAAAACCTAGCTATTGAATTTCAAGGTGCTGCTAAAATAAAAATGTTTTAGTTGAATAGAATATCAGAACTGTACCTTAAAGATACCACATAATATCTTTTAATGTTGTTTCCACTTTTCCAGCGGATCCTCTGGTTGGAAGCATAGCCACTCAGTATTTGACCAACAGAGCAGAACATGACAGGATAGCCAGACAGTGGACCAAGAGATACGCAACATAATTCACATAATTTGTATGCAGTGTGAAGGAGCAGAAGGCATCTTCTCACTGTGCTGCAAATCTTTATAGCCTTTACAATACGGACTTCTGTGTATATGTTATACTGATTCTACTCTCTGCTTTTATCCTTTGGAGACTGGGAGACTCCCCAAAAAGGTAAATGCTCTCAAGAGTAGAACTTTGTAGCTGTAGATTAGTTATGTTTAAAATGCCTACTTGCAAGTCTTGCTTCTTTGGGATATCAAAATGTATTTTGTGATGTACTAAGGATACTGGTCCTGAAGTCTACCAAATATTATAGTGCATTTTAGCCTAATTCATTATCTGTATGAAGTTATAAAAGTAGCTGTAGATGACTAGGAATTATGTCATTTGTATTAAACCCAGATCTATTTCTGAGTATGTGGTTCATGCTGTTGTGAAAAATGTTTTACCTTTTACCTTTGTCAGTTTGTAATGAGAGGATTTCCTTTTACCCTTTGTAGCTCAGAGAGCACCTGATGTATCATCTCAAACACAATAAACATGCTCCTGAAGGCGTAGTTTCCTGTCGTAATATTCTTAGTCAGTCTTGTTAGAAGGTGTGTCAGAGATGATTGTTGATGAAATAAAAATGTGGGTATGAAGATTGACTACTAAGGACTAGTAAAAATAAGTGAATTATTAAATTGAAAACATTAAAATCATTAAATGTGTATAGAGTTTTTCCTTTAAGTCTTGGAGAATACAATGAGCGTAAATATACAGAACTGGACTTTAAATCATTGGTTTCAGAAACACATAAAGGTTTAATTTGATGATGATAGTATTTAAGTGAAAAAGAAGATAAAATTCAGGCTTGCTTAGGAATCTGGTAATGCCTTCTAGAAAAATTTGGTGATTTCTCTCCACCATTAGACAATATTGTCAAATAATCCCTTTGATCTCATGGCTGTTTGTGGTACAGTCTCCTTTTAATCCTGATCTTGAATTTTATGGTATGTATTATCATTCTCACCGTGGCACCTGGCCATCCAGGATAGCCACAGGCAGAGTTGAATGCAGGAACTCTTGTCAGCCCTGAAGGTAGAGAGAAAGTTACATGTTAGTGTACAGAAGTGACATTGTTCCTCTATTGAAAAAATATGATATTTTAAGAGTTTTATGGGTCAAATTCTTTCTAATACTAGGTTTGTGTTTTACTATGACTTGGGGTCATTATCTCTGGTCACGTGGTCAAGTGTGTGGTTTAAGTGTCTTCTACATCTGAAGGTGGAAATGGAGCACTGTCTTAAAATTTATAAAATGGAATTAGTAACATAAAATTGCTTCTCAATAACAGTTTAAAACAAATATAGTTGCGTATACTATCACTAAGAATAGTGAGCTCTTTCTTGAGTTGCCAGTAGAAGTCTTAAGTCTGAGTAAAAATAAAATAAAATATGCGCTTACTATTTTTTCACTTAACTTCCTTTGAAGGAACACCAAATAAAACAGTACTATATCCTTGCGTCTATGAAAATCTCTGAGTTTTAACTACTTTAACCAGTAACCAATAATCTGTAATGGACTGAAGTCAATACGATAAGAGTGAAGACTTTTTACGTAAGCTATAAGGATTTTTGTGAGCTGTAGGAAGTAGATTTTCCCCATTTCTGAGATTGCACATTGCACATCATAGAGTATAAACTTCTGTCATGGTGCTAGTCAGAGGTTTGGGAATTTGGTTAGGCTTTCTTTAGTTACTATTATCACCGTGATATTTTGCTAATGTATAGGCTGTGTCCCATATTGGCCTGGGACCAAATAGAAGGAAATGGAGACTTAACATATTTGTGACTGTTCCACAAACTACCTTTGTAGCCTTGGAGTAAGGCAGTTTCAAGTTATTCATATATGAACCACCAGAGTTGAATTTGCTTATTTCTGTATTTTTTATTCACCATAAAACTCTGAGTAATTCTAATCTTCTTCATCTTTGTTCTGCTTGTTCTGCTTTCTCTTGCAGGGAACAGGCTACACTTTCAAATAAGCTGATAGTATCTTGGTGTTCTGATATATAGCTACCTATAAAGTAAGAACTGTAACTCTTCTAAAGAGGAGAGAATCAAAACTAGTATATTTTAAAAAATAAAAATAGGGCTGGCGCCGCGGCTCACTAGGCTAATCCTCCGCCTTGCGGCACCAGCACACTGGGTTCTAGTCCCGGTCGGGGCGCCGGATTCTGTCCCGGTTGCCCCTCTTCCAGGCCAGCTCTCTGCTGTGGCCAGGGAGTGCAGTGGAGGATGGCCCAAGTCCTTGGGCCCTGCACCCCATGGGAGACCAGGATACGTACCTGACTCCTGCCTTCGGATCAGCGCGGTGCGCCGGCCACGGCGGCCATTGGAGGGTGAACCAACGGCAAAGGAAGACCTTTCTCTCTGTCTCTCTCTCTCACTGTCCACTCTGCCTGTCAAAAAAAAAAAAAAAAAAAAGTAAAAATAATTTGGAATCCTTCTATTGTTTCTCTTAAATTTAGGACTTTTGTTAGAGTGAGGGAGGCATCTCGTTTTCTTATTTCTGAAAAACCGTCAGTCCTTTTCACGACATGGGTGTTTATCACTTGAGTTCAGAAAATTCATTGAAAAACAGAATTACTGGGCAAGATATTTTGTTGCAAAAAAATTGAAATCCATGCATATGAAGGGAATAATAAAAATGTGAAAATGTGTATTATGAAAAAAACTATGGATTTCAAATTTTTTTTGTCCTCATATGAACAAGAATACTTCAAAAAGTTTGTGGAAAAATAAAATTAAAAGATAATTTTTAAATTAAATATTTATTAGAAAGAGACATTACAGATGGAGCTTCTATCCACTGGTTCACTACCTGCAATGGCTGGGACTAAGCCAGGCCAAAGCCAATAACTGGGAACTGAATCCAGGTTTTCCACAGGGATGGCAAAAACCCAACTGGGCCATCCATCACTACTGCCTCCCAGCGTCTGTGTTAGCAGGAAGGTGGAATCAGGAGATGGAGCCAGGTAACAGATCCAAGCACTCTGATAATGGGATGTGTTTTCTGTCTTTCAAAGGTGTCTTAACCTGTAGGCTAAATGCCCACCCTATTAAATTTATTTTGGTGTAAAAATATTTTGGTGTATAGCTTTTGTTTCTCATAATTTAAGTTTTCCATGAATTTTTTGAAGACACTTTGTATCTTAATTCCATTTTCTGAAAACTTCTTGAGTATCCTCTTACTGTCACTAGGGAATTTTTTTTTCTCCATGAAGTTGCATCTACTTATAAATTGTGATATTTCAAACAAAACCTAGACCATTTCTCATCATTAAGAGCAGATTGTACACGTTGCAAATCCATATGTAATTTTATAAGTGTGTAAGAATGATCATGGCATTATGCATCCCTTTAAGCCTGGTGTGCTCTAATTAGGGTCTTCTAGTGAGCTGGACAGTGTCTCCCTATACGCCAAGCACCATTTAGACAGTGCTGTGCCTTATCTCATTTAACACCCCCCAAAGAGTTTTAGGAGGATAGACACGTGTAGATTTGAAACTAATGTATAAACAGGTTGCGTAGGTAATATAGATGAATAAGCCCCTGTGCTTGACTCTAGGCTGGGAGTGTTTATCATATCACAAATTGCTGTTGAAAACACACATATACTTAGACACCACTTAAAACTGTTCTCTGTAAAACTATATTCATAGAATAATTAATCTACAACTTCTAAAAATTACAGTTTTGCATTTTAGTATATTCTTATTTTGATATTTTATTGTAGTGTCTATTAATGGAACCTTAAAATTTTATTTTTCAAAACTATATGTTAGATTTATCTGTATTTTCCCATAGTCATTTGTCTAGTACTTCTCATACCAGTGATTTTTCTCTCTCGTTTTTCTTTAGAGGCTTTTTTTTTTTTTTAATTTGAAAGAATTACACAGAGAAAGAATTACAAATGTCTTCCATCTGCTGATTCACTGTCCAGATAGCTGCAGTGGCCAAGGCTGAGACAAACTGAAGCCAGGAGCCAGGAGCTTCATCCGGGTCTCCCATGTGTGTGGCAAGGGCCCAAACACTTGAGCCATCTTCTGCTGCTTTTCCTAGGCCATTATCAGGACGCTAGATCTGATGTGGAGCAGCCAGGACATGAATCAGCACCCATATGGGATGCTGGTGTCATAGGCAGCAACATTACCCACCATACCACAATGCTGGCCCCAGGTTTGTCTTTTTTTAATTTGAGAGATATAAGGTTCTGTGTTAAATTTTTCTTTAGCCAAGGGGGCCAGTGTAGTGGTGCAGCAGGGTAAGCCACAACCCCTGACACCTGCATCCCATTTGGGTGCTGGCTCCTGTACCTGCAACTCTCCTTCCAATCCAGCTCCCTGTTGATAGGCCTGTGAAGGCAGCAGAAGGTGGTCTAAGTGCCTGGGCCCCTGCCACCCATGTGGGAGACCTGGTTGAATTCCAGTCTCCCAGCAGTTGGAAGATCTGAGTCTGTTTCTCCTCTCTGAAACTCTGCCTTTCAAATGAATAAATAAATCTTTAAGAAAATAAATTTAAAAGCAATTCAGTTAATCATATATTATATAACCACATCAAAAATTTATATTGACAAGCCTGAAACATTTAATGAGTATCTTTTTCAAAATGAGGTATTGACACTCATCTGTCTGGACATTGCCTTTCTTTTTTAGTGAGGAAATCTTACAGGCACAGCCATAAAGTTGAGTTGATGCTTGCATTTTGACTTACGTATGTGCTACCCTTTTAATAACTTTGAGGTGTTTTCTGATGTGCACTAACTTACCCAAGTGTATTCTTAAAATTCATTCAAGAATGTGTGGGAAAATGTAAGTTAATTTCAATTCCATAACTTGATACAGTAATCTTAGGTATGATTATGGTAGTGTAGTATGTTAACACATTTTAAAGTCAACATTTATATTATGGTCTCTGGACAGATTTATGAATGATTTATGGTTTCCCAAACCATTACAGATGTACTTAAGAGGATGAGGTAGTTATTTCTACAATACTGCATTATCTGCTTGCTTCTATTTCAGTAATGTTCTTTATTTTAGGGAAATAAATTGTGCAAATAAATCCCATTGTTTCATGTTTAAACATATAATGTAGTTTCTTCAAGCAATACCCAAATAATAAAAACAGCTTGTAATTATACTCCAGTGAATACATATTATTTGAAATGAAATCTTTTAAAACTGATTTGTCAGCTTTTTATTGTAAAGTTCTTCAGTTTTTAAATGTGTATCTCTGCAACATGTAATCAGATGCTTGTATACAGTGAGCTGTTAATGCTTTCAAAGTGATTTATAAGATAAGTTGCTGCGAGTGGTTTATGTAACTGTATTGTCAGTAGCCATGGGTGATGTTTAAACCTTGGTCATTGTCATAGTAAACCTTGTTAGAGAGGAGGAATGACTGTGTAAGCTGTGTGCATATCTAAGGCATATGTACACATAACCTCGCTTTCCTGTTTCCTTGACTGTAAAACTCAGGGCACTTCTCTGAAAGCAATGTCCTGG